CTTTCCTGTAATTAGATCGGATAATACAGAGGTGCCTAAAATGCTAGAGGGAAACTGCTACCTTCTAGAAAATGATCAATGTCACTTAGAAAAGCTTTGATAGGCTCCTAAATTGATTGTGTGAATATGTCAGGAATAGAGACTTTGGCTGCACATGATTTTAATTTCAGGGATGCATTACCCACAAAACAACATCAATCTAAAGAAGATAGCTCACGTGAGGAAGAGGTTAGGTTTGTGATGGACAATGACATATGGAACTGAGTCATGGTAACTGGAGCTCACCTATCCTGATGGTGCTAAAACCAAATAGTTCACAATAGATTATCTCAAAGTTAACACAGTAACAAAAGTGGACTCATATCCTATCCCGTGACTGGAGGACTATATTGAAAAACATAGACAATTTATTACCAAAATTCACATGTTGAAAGGATGTTGGCAACTTCCATTGACTGATATAGTGAAAGAATGATCAGCTTTTGTAACATCAGATAGACTTTATCAATTGAAAGTCATGCCATTTAAAATGAAAAATGCACCATCAACCTTTCAACATTTAACCAATAAAGTTATTGAAGGATTATTGTCTGTATTGACAATTTGGTTGTATCCAACCAAACCAAGATGACCATTTTACCACTTTACTGAACTGTTTGATTGATTAGAAATCATAACATAATCAAATTACATCATAAAATATGACAGCAAGTGAACAGCAAGCAATTTTATTATTATTCCGATCGAAAATTCTTCATCCCCAGATATCCTTTCAGTCTTAGCTTTGAAGTATTACCTCCTTCTACACATGAATTACAGACTTGTCCTGATCAAGGCCTTCACAATTAAATTTAGTAGTGACTATTCTTGAGTTTCATTTACAATCTAAAGATTTTGCCACAACAACATGAAGGGACTGATGTTATGGTTTTTTATAAATATATTTATGATTTTGCTTCCAACCTTCCACGTTTAGTCCTTTTTCTTCTTCTGCAGAAGTAAACAAAGAAAAACATGAGATATATGCACATGAACTCCCAATATTATTGTCCCATCTAGTGAGATTGCATGGTGTCATTGGCTTGTAGTTTATTTAAGATTTCATTCATTAAGGAACCAGTAAATATTTTAGTGTGACAAGTCAAACCTTGCATTTAATATTTTGCATTTCTTTTGTTATTTTGAAATATATTCTGAGTTGTTGTGAGGTGTTGAGCCTTTTCCTAAACACATTTCTGAGGGAAAGTCCAAAGGTGTTTGAGAAGTATATTAAGGGTGAGAAAATATCCAAAGAAAGAGCAGGATTCATTAGGGACCAAAGTGGCAATCTGTGTGTGGAGCCTGAAGACATGACTGAGGCTTTAAATGATTACTTTGGGTCCGTACTCACTGCAGAGAATGACAATGTACATGTAGAAATTCGAGCGGGAGGCTGTGATATACTTGAATGAATTAGTGTTGAGAGGGAGGAGGAATCAATAGGTTGAACATGCTTGAAAATGGATAAAATCCCAGTGCCAGATGAGATATATCCCAGGCCACCATGTAAGGAAAGGGTGGAGATTGGAGGGGCTCCAACATTAATTTTCATATCTTCTTTGGCCACAGGAGGGGTGCCAGAGACTGGAGAATGGCTAACGTACTTCCATTGCTTAAGCAAGATGGGAGGCATAAAGCAGTAAAAATGCAATCTGCAAGTGTCCAAGCTTTAAAGGATGCTAAGCAGCAGGATAAATTCTCCTTGGAGGATATAACAGGCCCATTGTCGGCTTTCAGCTCTTCTGATTTTGCAGACAAATAAGAGAAATTCTGGTACAAGTATTTCTGCCATAACGCGTTTTATTAACGTAAAGTGGCTGTAATGTGATTGATGAATAGTGGACGCTGATATGATAATGCAAACTTTCTACTGTACAGCATAGCGATTTTCTATAGCGCAAGGTCGCACAGGAATGCAAATATTGCATTATGGGAGAAATACCTATATGCAGATATCATTGCTAATGGTAAGAAAACTGATTTTAAATTGGATTTGGATACAGATGAATCTAGCCATCTGGATGTAACACTATAGTTGAGGCAAAAAAATCTCAAACACTCTTCCATTAAAGTTTAGAATACAGGAGGTATTAAAATTAGCATGAGAAGAGAGATGCAAGCTGCATTTAGCTACAGTGGAACAGACATCACAGAAATCTTGCATATCATTCATAATCTCTTCTTTATAAGGTGGAGATTTTTGTATGACTTTGAATATTCTTGATTTAGCATTCAGAAGAGACTGAGTTGACTCAATGTACCTGGAATCGTCCTCCATTATAGAAATTCCAATCCTAGGAAAACAAGTAGATCTTGCAGATAAGGTGTTTCTGTAAAAAGAGAAGCTGCAAATGGTGAAAGGATATGGTATCAGAGATGAAGGTGACTAACCATAAGAAAGCATCCTCGACCTTAATTTGGTGTTTCAGGACAGAGACACGGAGAATTAATGTGACACTCATGACATTGATTGTCAGCAGAGATGCAGCTTTATGTTGATGCAAATGGGAAACTGATACCTTCACACATAGCAAGTGAAGTTCCTACGTTAAGAGTAAATTCCGAGAGAGTCATACAGCATGGAAACAGACCCTTTGGTCCAATCAATCTATGCCAACCATAATGCCAAACTAAACTAGTCCCACCTGCCTCTGCTTGACTCATATCCCTCCTAACATTTCTTATTCATGTACATATGCAAATGTCTTTGAACCGTTATAACTGTATCCACATCCACCACTTCCTCAGGAAGTTCATTCCACACACAAACTACTCTCTGTGTAAAAAAAAGGCCCATGTCTTCTTTAAATCTTCCTCGTCTCACCTTAAAAATGTGCCCCTCATCTTGAAATCCCCACACTAGGGAAAAAAAGAAGCTGCCATTTAACTTTTCTATACTCTTCATGATTTTATAAACCTCTACAAGGTCACCCCTCAAACACCTATGCTCCAGTGAAAAAGTGCCAGCCTATCCAGCCTCTCCTTTTAACTCAAACCCTCCATTCCTGGCAACATCCTGGTAAATCTCTTTTGAACCCTCTACAGCTTAATAATATACCTCCTATAACAGGGTGGACAGAACTGGACAAAATTCTCCAGATAAGGAAAAACATACTGCACAACCTCAACATAATGTCCCAACTCCTATACTGAAATATCTGAGCAGTGAAGGAAAGCGTGCTAAATGCCTTCCTAACCACCCTACCTGTACATGATGCAAACTTCAACGAATTATGTATCTGAACCCCTAGGTCGCTCTGTTCTACAATACTACCCAAGGCCCTACTTTTAATTGTATAAGTCCTGCCATGGTTTGCTTTATGAAAATGCAATATCTCACATTTATCTAAATTAAACTCCATCCACCACTCTTCAGCCCATTGACCCAATTGATCAAGATCTCTTTGTAATCTTAGATAACCTTCTTCACTGTCCACTATACCATCAATTTTGGTGTCATCTGCAAACTTACTAACCATGCCTTCCATACTCTCATATGGAGAAACTCATCCTGAATCCCATGTGATCTAAATTTACTAATTAGTCTACCATGTAGAACCTTGTCAAAGGCTTTACTAAAGTCTGAGTAAACAATGTCTACTGTTCTGCCCTCATCAATCTTCTTGGTTACTTCCTCAAAAAACTCAATCAAGTTCGTGAGAGATGAGAAGTAAAGAAGTCATCATTTCCATGTCTCCTGACTACTCTTTGTTCTTCTTCTCATTCATGGATTTATTCTTGCCTCACAGTATACACAGATGGATATGAAAAGATGTTTTCAGTTAACTGTCTGCCTTCCAGGGGTTGTGATAATTTGAGTACCAGAGCTTTGCCTCTTCAATCAATAGTTCCTTGATTCATCATCACTGCTGTAGCCCAGGATCCAGCTGTTGTGAGAAGCTGCCATTCCACTACACCACTGCGATCAACATCCAACACAATGACAAGGGGGTGTATAGATCCAACATGTTCTCCCAGGGAGCTGAGAATACAGTTAAAGATTGATAGTGCTGGTGAAAGAGACATGTTAGGAAGTTGGTGTCGGGTGGGGGTGAGTGTGAAGTGGGATTAAACAGTCTAATGTTACTGGTTAAATGGTAATGGCTAAAAGGTGTACAGTGAATTCACTAGTTGTGGAGTAAACTGCTTTCCCTCTTAAAAATGACTATTGAGCATATACATAAGGAGCTATGTCACAATGACATTAGATCACAGGGAGCCTGAGTCTATAGGGTTCCAGGCGATGTCCCTTCTTACCACCCCTTGTATATTGTTATGTCAATAAAGCCTGTTAATGTTTGCCCACTTGAATACAGGAAAAAAAAATCTGTACTTTGTGAGGAAAGTCTTGAAGTTATTGTATCATTATCAAATAAAGATGGTTAAGAGTATTCCACATTGGCACTTGCCAGCCTATGAAATTCCACCAATAACATGAATCATGGACTTCAGCAATAGAAAAATCACTCGATATATTAACAAGATGTTGGCCTTATGCCTTATTTTCCTCAGCATTTATTCATTGGGTGCCCACATGGGATAGCGAACCTGCTATTGGGGTTCCACAGAGACAAGGCAAGTTAAAGAATGAGATTTCAGAAGTAATCTTCAGATCAAGTAACACAAAAATACTGGATGATTGCAGAATTAATGGCTCCTTGGCATATCTTTGAGATAGGCCTTGAGCTGTTGCCCTCCAACAGCATGCAGTGTCCCCATTGCCAAAGTCCATTGTAAGAATTTTCCAGAGGAGAGGGCAATGCCAGAAATGAGCCCAGTCTATGCAAAATATCAGAAAAATTGATTGTAAGTGTTAAAATGTAGCCAAAAGCTGCTACTGCAGTAAAATTAATGACCCACTATCCACATTTGGAGTAATAGAAGAGTCTGTCATTGTTACGTATTAGAATATTGATGTATCAGTCCAAGTGATAAGTAGAGCAGGTAACAGTTTTTGGACAATGAAGCCCTTGGAAGGAAGCCTTGTGTACTACCCATTTGGTAGTAAAGACCTGTTTGCTCTGAAAGTAGTCAGCTGTGAAATTTTAAATTATTGTGTTTAATTATTTTTGGTTAATGAATGGACAAGTGAGTCAATCATTTTTATTTTGTGCAATCATTAAGGTAGAACTTCCCACCTATTGGAGGAAATGATGCAACAAGTTAAATATAAACAATATTCCTGCAATTTATTGAAATGCAAAACTTTAATGCTTTGCTCATTAGTTGTAGAGTTGAAAGTACTCAGGATATTCGGTTGCAGCCATGTAGAGCTTTGTAAACAACTTAATTATACATTGAAGGTAGATTGAATTTATAATAAAGCCAACATATTCAGTAACTGTAGTGATTCAATAATGTTGTATAAAATCCAAGTACAATAACAATGTTTAGTATTTACACTGGTTAAATTTTAAAGTTATGTTATTGTCTGAGTCAGGAGATTGTAGGCAGGTCGATGGTTTCAAATAGTACCAGCAGCCACTCTACAACCAATATGTTTGCCGCAGCATGAATTTTCTCATTTAGTTTAATTTTGTGTTTTATTAATCTAATAAAAAAAATTATCAGTAGCCATCTGGAGTTCTGTTCCCGCATGTGTTGTGAGCAACTCACATCTTGATCACGTATTTATGTATCTAATTACGTGGCCTTTACCTAAAAGACACCAGCACATTAACTGCGAGATAGTAAGAACTGCAGATGCTGGAGTCAGAGATAACAGTGTGGAGCTGGAGGAACACAGCAGGCCAGGCAGCATCAGAGGAATAGGAAAGTTGATGTTTTGGGCCGGGGACCCTTCTTCAGACCACTGCAGCCCTCTGATAATCTCTTCTGCCCTGAAACTCTTCAACCACATGCTTAAACTCGTTATTACAGCCACATCTCCTTTCTCAGCGCATTAACTGCACCAGTTTATCCTTCAAATTGTGTTGGAAGTGAGAGTAACTGCAAACTGAGAATCTGCAGAGAAAATACATTGTAAAAAAAGTGCAAGTATTAATGAAGGTGATATTAAGCTTAAAGTTGCAGAACTTCACTACAAAACTTATGAATAGGTAAGATTGAAGTATTGAAAGCACTTGTTAAAATGCAGTGCTAAGTTCTGAGTGAAGTGCTTCAGGGATCTTCTTGGAGACTACTATTGCTTCCAATTTGCATGAACTACACAAGCAACATTTATGTTGGTCTGGAGCTTGTGTTGCCACATTCTATTTTATTATTGGTCTTAGCATATCCACCACTGAAAGCCAATTGTATTTAGAAACTCAACCTGATTAGATGTGCAAATAATACTGAATGAGAGCAAAACTGAGGGTGCCTTAGAAAGGACAAAATCAGTTAGATAAAATATTTAATTGGATAGAACAAGATGAAACAGACCCTAGGCTGAAAACTGAGATGCATGTGTTATATATGAATGTGGGGAAATGGCCAATGAGCATATTAGAAGAGATCTAAGAGTTCTGTTTCTTTTAACACTCAACACATCCAATCACTGTGTAGTAATAAAAACAAATAGGATGCCAATAGAAATGGAAACCAGTGATGATATGCTACTTAAATTGTACAGTACTGCAGATGCACCACACCCTAAATTACTGTATACACTTCTGGCCATTAAACACAGGAAAATAGTCAGTCCTTGGAGGTGATAATAAAACAGTCACAAATTTGAACTATGAAAAAAGATTGATTTAATGTGAAAGTTCCAGCCATGATTATCTTTGTATCTTTTAAATTGATATTCACCTTGGAATGTCCTCATCTATCAGTGTTATCAGAGGAGTTTGTGATTCTCCCACAAATTAGAACATGCTTTTATCCACTCAAGTAAATCTAACAAGACTCAGGATGTCATTGTATTCCATAAACCATCTACTATGCAATAGGTAATATTCTCCTACATTGATCTTAACTCTGAAAGTCAAAAGAAAATAGATTTTATCAGTCTGTAGTTCAGACTATGAACCAATAGGCACATTTGTTTAACAACAAACTATTCATTCTCCTCAAAAATGCCAAAATAATGGTATTTCTCCTCTGTCAACACGACATAAAATTGATCTTTGGTTGCTCATTCTATGATAATGAAATTGCTAACAGCTTCTAATGCTCTCTGTACACCTCAAATTAACTGCAACCGGGAAAAAGTTAATCTCACGATTTACAGTCCTCTGAAGCTGTTCTGAAAAATTAAAAATTCTCATATTACATGAGATCCTTTAACACAACAAAATGTCCCAAAGTGCAAACATTAGATGGTCATGCATTCATAATCTACTTCTACAAGAGAATGCCCCAATCTCCTCAATGATATGCAATTATTTTAACACTATTTAGTGGGAAAGCTATTGTAGAGAATGGAAGGGACTCTACATTCTACAAAGGTTTTCATATTAAGACATTCTACTTTGACAAAAACATGCTCTAATCCCATTTAGCAGATTAGACCACAGTGTATATTCTTTATGAACTATGCAATCAGCTAACATGACTAGTTTTAAATTCAGTAATAAAAGCATTAATAATTACACAAAACCATTGTAATTATCTGTCAAGAATGTAGCAGAGTCAGTGTTCCAACAAACTGTGTCATAATGTGGTAACTTGACTCTAACCTGCATTTCTGCTCCTCTACATAGTGGTGTATTTAATAGTTTACATCATCTACGAGAAACACTGGACAGGGAAAGAAAATCATAAATAATACCTTAAGTGTCCATATCTTCAGTACACAGGAATAACTGATTTTTCTCTTTGTTTCACATCTCGGAGAGATTGTGGATGACCTGGTGAAACAAGAAAAAATATACAAATGTTGACTTAATGCAGCTATTATGGATTTTAGCTTTAAAGTGTAGTGTGTGCTTTGTAAGAACGTAAATATTTTCTTGATGATGATTATGTTGAAGTTGTTATAATATAGTTAACATTGTACTTAATATGTTGATCACCAGGCACACTCCAAGACTTGGCATATCTACAATGAACATTTCCGCCAATCTCAGCAAGGTCATGTGTCAATTGCTTTGGCTTCTCATTGGGTTGCACCAAAAAATGGGGACATAACCTCTGAAGTTGTGCAGCTTTGCCAGTGCTCTATCAATTCTGTATTGGGTTGGTTTGCGAAACCAATATTCATAGATGGTGATTATCCAGAGTGTATGAAGGATAACCTCAAATCGCTACTGCCAGCTTTTAACGATGGAGAAAAATTGGAAATAAAGAAAACAGCTGATTTTTTCGCACTTTCATTTGGACCATTGAGTTTTCGACTTTTGGATTCAAATCTGTTATTTAACCAATCAAAAAAATACTTTCTGAGGCAGCTTCTGTATTGGATTCACACAGAATACAACAACTCAAAAATATTCATTGTAGAAAATGGCTGGGATGACAGCAGCGGCAGTACAAAGACTGAGGATGTTTATAACATGTATCCTTTAAAGACCTTTCTCATGGATGTACTGAAAGGTAACATTTTTCTCCCATTTGATGGTATTTTACAAGTTCCACTTTAAGTTTCGTTGAAAATATTTTAAAAAATGAACTCTAAGCGTTATTTAATCTTTGCAAACAGCAAATAAATTTTGATGTAAAATAGTACACCTGCAGGAAGATCTGAATCCATTAGATTTAAATGGTAATTGGGCAAAAAGATGAATGAAAGAACTTGCATTGATACATTGCCTTTCACAAAAAGTAGAGTCGTAGAGTCGTAGAGTCATAGAAATGCACAGCACGGAAACAGACCCATCGGTCTAACTTGTCCATACCAACCAGATATCCTAAATAAATCTAGTTCCATTTGCCAGCATTTTCCCCATATCCCTCTAAACCCTTCCTATTCATGTACCTATACAGAGGCCTTTTAGATGTTGAAATTGTAACAGCCTCCACTACTTTCTTGGGCACCTCATTCTATACACTCACCACCCTCTGTGCGAAAAAGTTGCCCTTAGGTCACTTTTAAATCTTTCCCCTCTCACCTTAAACCAATGCCCTCTAGTTTCAACTCCTCCACCCGAGGGAAAAGACCTTATCTATTTACCCTATCCATGCCCCTCATAATTTTATTAACCTCTATAAGATCACCCCTCAGCCTCCGATGCTCCTGGGAAAATAGTCCCTGCCTATTCAGCCTCTCCCTACGGATCAAACCCTCCAACCCTGGCAACAGCCTTGTACATCTTTTCTGCACCCTTTCAAGTTTCACAATATCCTTCCTATAGCAGGGAGACCAGAATTGCATGCAATATTCCAAAAGTTAATTGTCTCCTTTTCACCAGCTCATCAATTAAGCTCAAGGTGAGAAGGTCCTCAGGGGATGTCCCTTGACCAGTCCCAGCAATTAAGCTCTTAAAAGGTCAATTAATAACTACTTAAAGGTCTAAAGTCACCAACTTCCCAGTTACCTACCTTTGCAGCGGATAGGAAAGCTGGCCGGATTCCCAACATGTTGGTGCCCTGCATGTCAGATTGTTGGAGGCCTCCAACTTGTCCACTATGGAGATGATTGGAGGCAGGGATGGCAGGCAACTGGATAGCTTTTGATAGTCATTCTCTTGTTCTTGCTGTTAATTCACCTGAATAACCCCTCTTCCAATAACCTTGCCCCATGACAAATTGATAATGAATACTTACCTTCTTGCTGCTGAATCGTCCGAGAAATAGGCCTCTAAAGAAGGCTTTTAAGACAGAAAAACTGCTGACTTCTGAAATGGCTAGTGTCAGTGAGCAGGTTATTGTTGACCAGGTGCTGCTTGATAGCACTGTTGTTGACACCTTCCATCACTTTACTGATGATCAAGGGTAGATTGATGGGACAGTAATTGGCCAGGTCGGATTTGCCCTGCTTTGTGTGTACAGAACATACTTGGGTAATTTTCCACATTGTCTGCAAATGCCAGTGTTATAACTACACTGGATAAACTTGGCTGTAAGTGTAGAACGTTCTGGAGCATCAGTCTTCAGTGCTATTGCTGGAATGTTGTCGGGGCCAATAGCTTTTGCTGTAGCTTGTACCTCCAACTATTTCTTGACATTACATGGAGTGAATTGAATTGGTTAAACACTGGTAGCTGTAATATGGGGACCATTGGAGGAGGCTGAGGTGAATTATCCACTTGCTACTTCTGACTGAAGATTGCTGTGAAAACTTCAGCCTTATCTTTTTGATGTGTTGGGCTCTTCCATCATTGAGGAGGGGGATATTTGTGGAGCCTCCTCCTCCAATGAGTTGTTTAAATTTCCACCAACCTTCACGACTGGATGTGACAGGATTACAGAGCTTAGATATGACCAGTTGGTGTGGGATCGCTTAGCTGTCTGTATCACTTGTTGTTTATGTTTTCTGGCATGCAAGTAGTCCTGTTTGGTGGCTTCACCAGGTTGACACCTCATTTTTAGGTATGCCTGGTGCTGTTCCTGGCATGCCCTCCTGCACTCTCCATTGAACCAGGATTGGTCCCCTGGCTTGATGGTAATGGTTGAGTGGGTGATGTGCTAGGCCATGAGGTTGCACATTGTATTGGGGTATAATTCTGCTGCTGTTGATGGCCCACATTGTCTCATGGATGTCCAGTTTTGAATTCCAGATCAGTTCGAAGTCTGTCCCATTTAGCAAGGTATCCTACCACACAATACAATGGAGGTTATTCTCAATATGAAGGTGGGAATTCATTTCCAGGAGGTGGCCACTCAGAGTCCTAGATATCGACAGCACAGAAAAAGGCTCTTTATCCCATCACATCTGTGCTGGTCAAAAACAACCAACGAATTAGCCTATTCCCATTTTCCAGCACTTGGCCCATAGCCTTGAATGCTTTGGCATCACAAGAGCATATTTGAATACTTCTTAAATATTATGAGGGTTTCTGACTATACCACTCTTACAGAGAGTTAGTTCCACATTCCCACCACGCTCTGGGTGAAAAAGTTTATCTCACATCTTCCTTAACCTTCCTCCCTTACCTTAAGTCCATACCCCTTGGTCATTGATCCCTCCAAGGTAAAAAGTTTCTTCCTGTGTACTCTATGCCCCTTATAATTTTATACATCTCACTGATATTCCCTCTCAATCTCCGCTGTTCTGTGGAAAACAACCCTGGTCTGTCCAATCCCTCTTTATAACTGATACTCTCCAGCCCAGAAATAATCTCGGTAAATCTCCTCTGTGCCCATTCCAGCGCTATCAAATTCCTCATAGAAGTTTTGATAGCCCACTGTGTTATTAATGTCTTGGGGGTGGCGTCACAGGGGGATTTGCCTTCATCACACTGATTATTTGGTGTGTTCTGTGTGGTCTTCAACTTCAGTTTGTTATCCATTTTTCTTCATGATAATACTGGATATTAGAATATAAGTTGTGCATGTATATATAATTGATTATGTTATTGTTCTAACTCTGAATAGTTCGTTTTGTTGAAAAACCATGGAATTGTAAGCTTTATTCTCTTGCTAACTATGTGGATTTTACATTTTGTCTACTTTATAGTAAAGATTACTGGTCCCTAATCAGATTGTAACATAGGTTTAGTGGTCTGGTCCAGGATCGTAACAGGTTCCTGCTGTAATGTAGCAAATGTAGCAATCAATGAGCAAAGAGCTAATGATTGAATAATCTGTATTTGAAACATTGGTTGAGGGTTAAATAGTGGCCAGGAATCAGAGAAAATTTCTCTACTAATGTCATGTGCTCTCTTACATCCATCCAAGGGGTAAAATGGGACACATGTTTTATAATTCATCCTTCATTTCTGACAGTGTAGCTCCCTGTCACATGGACACTTTGACTTTTGAGATTCAGAGATGAGAGTACTACCAGTGGAACCAAAGCGAGCACCCTAAATTGAACAGTCCACAATATGATGTGAAAGAATCATTACATGTTAATCAGTTGTGGTATTAGAAAATACAGGCTTTGATTTAATGATGGTAGTAATGGCAAAACTGTTGGTTTCAGAGGAGTAATGACAGTGAATGCTGACAGCAGCATCAGAAGCCTACAGAGATGTAGATTAACATGGCAGTCCAGAAATTGCTGTCGGTGATTGTACACCTCTTCACTGGAGGGGTGCTCAGTTTTGCAGCTGCTTGGGAATTATCACTCGGTTTTAATCAAACAATTGTCATAGAGTCATAGAGCCATTCAGCACAGAAACAGACTATTCAGTCCAACTCATCCATGCCGACCACACATCCCATCTGACCTAGTTCCATTTGCCAGCATTTGGTCCACATCCCTCTTAACCCTTCCTATTCATGTATCCATCCGGATGCCTGCTAAATGTTGTAATTGTATCCACTTCTGCTACGTCCTTTGGCAGCTTGTTCCATACTTGCACTACCCTCTGCACGAAAAAGTTACCTTTCAGGTCCTTTTTAAATCTTTCCCCTCTCATCTTAAACCTATGTCCTCTAGTTTTGGACTCCCCCCACCCTAAGAGAAAGACCTTGGCTGTTCACCCTATCCATGCCCCTCGTGATTTTATAAACCACTATAAGGCCACCCCTCAGTCTCTGCCACTCCAGGGAGAGAAGCCCCAGTCTATTCAGCCTCTCCCTATAGTTCAAACACTCCAGTTCTGGTAACATCCTCGTAAATCTTTTCTGCAGCCTCTCAAATTTAAGAACATCCTTCTGTAGAATGGCAATTAGAATTGTACATAGTATTCCAAAAGTGGCCTAACCAATGTCCTGAATTCCTGAATAATTACCCAGCTAAGTACCAAAGGACTGCCTGATGGTTTGCAGAGTATTCTGGGAATGAGGCAATTGCCCATCACACATTCAAACTTCCCACACAATTCCCACGGTGGTTAGTGCATCAGAAGTCTGGCTGGATTTCAATTCATGTCATTGGTCCAGTATTCATTCTCTACTGATCCTGAGACTGGATCAAGGCCAACATGTTGCCAATTTAAAAAAAAGTTATCAACTAAGTTACAAGTGTTATCTTGTCACTAAGTGGAGCATTCATTTCCCCTGAGAGAGAGTCTGTTCTCTTTCAATGAATTCTGAGCAATCAATTAATCATTTAAGCCTTGAAATATTTCTCTAATTCCAATCCGTGAAACTTTTCTCCATAACTATTATTCATGCTTGTGTATTCATGCTGCCCAAATTTAGTTTCTTTCATCTACATATAAAACACAATTAGCTGAATGGATCAACACTTTAATCTGATTAGCAGACATGTATTAGAAAATCTTGACTTCAAATTTAATTCAAGCTCAGCATATTTTAAAAACACACTTACCTCAATTTTTAAGCGTTAGAGTCTTAAATTCAAGGAATTGAATCCCAACCACACCTAATACTTGTAATCCAGTTTTTCTTAAGGGTTAAATGTTAAATGTAGAGAATTTGAGTATTCCTGAAAACTAAAACATATTTTGTTGCAATTTTTCATCTTGCACTCAGGATAATTTGCAAGAATACCAATTCTGACAGCAGAACGTTGACTGGTTGGCAGGTAGATTTTAATTGGTAGAAACATTACCTGTCTTCTCTCTCTCATGAATGCAGAATATTTTATTAAATTAGTTCAAAACACAGGAGAATTACTTTGACAAATTTAATTCCTCAATCAACATCATATAAACAGATTTTCTGATCTTGATCACATTGCTATTAGTGGCATCTTGCTCTCCAACTGCCATTAGTTTCTACATTAATTTGGACCAATTTTAAGCCATTGAGAATTAAACTATGGTAAAATGTAGTGACTACATAATATTTTGGAATAACTATAAAATTCTTGCAGTAAAGTAATTGATATTTTTGCATTATAAACAAACAATGCTTCTAAGAATTCTATTCATTTCAGAAGTTGTACGCAAAATAAATTAAATCAGTTAATTACTTGATGAGTTTTTGGTGGAATCGCTTTCATAGATATTGGGCTGGATTTTCAGAGAGCTGGAAGACTCCTTGACCTTTAAAGAAAGCAGGCAGGACCAATCCTGGGATTTCCCCAGTTTTTAGCAGCATGGATTAAGGATGTGGCTAATTCAAGTTACAAGCCCACAGCCTGCCATCCCCATCCGGCCAAGTCCACAGCGAGGACAAATATCTCCAAGTATCCACAACTTTTGTGGAATTGAGACAGGCTTTTAAGGAGTTATGATACACGGCCCCTCGGCGATGGCATGAACTAAAGACTGGATGAGGGAACCGTTTGAAATGTAAGTTTGAAACATCCATTGTCAAACTATGGCTTTCCACCCACAACACGCCCATGGTCCCTCATACACCCCATGTCAATCTACATTCCCATTTGCTCAGTATACACTCTGTGTAAAATCAGTGAATACAATAGTACCAACAGCATTTGTGTTTTATCTTAAATGTAATCCTTTCATTGCTTTCTTAAAGAATCTCTTTTCACTCTAGCCCTATAGAAATGTCTTTCATCCAGTCACAATAACAGTAACAACAACTACTTAATAACTTTTTATCATGTGTAACTAAACATTGTGCAATTGGCAGAATAGATCACAGAGAAATTGGTCAATCAAGCAATGCTTTCCTTTTAGGCAGAGCCGTTTCCACCGATATATGGATGTCCAATTAGCACCTGCTTTCCAGACTGAAAATCCTGCCTTTGTAGGTATTCTCTCTTGAGGCGGTGGTGCTGAGTCAGGAAATTTCCCAACTCTCGCCATCCACTTCCGGGATGAAAATCCAGCCCGTTGACTACACTTCAAAAAGTACTTCATTGGCTGTGAAGTACTTTTGGCTATCTTGCTAGTCGTTAACGAGTTGCCTGTGTTTGCAATGCAATTCAATGTAGTAAGTCTTGGAAGATAAATGTTTCCTGTCACTAAAATACATTCCATAAATTATATTTATATGAAATGTAAACACTAACATTTTTGGTACTTGTACCTATACAGCAATTAAGTACGATGGAGTTGATGTCATTGGATACACAGCATGGTCACTACTAGATGGTTTTGAATGGGATGCTGGTTACAATACCCGACGGGGATTGTTTTATGTTGACTTTCAAAGCAAGGAGAAGAACAGAATGCCAAAATCATCTGCTTTTTTCTATCAGCAAGTGATAGAAGACAAGGGATTCCCACCTATACCAGAAAACAAACCTATTACAGGGACCTTCCCCAACAGTTTTGTATGGGGCATCTCTGAAGATGTCATACAGGTATTTCTTTATACTTCTCTTAAAAAAAGAATGAAGGTCGTTATGGTCAATGCAATATACAAGTTTGTCAACACAGTAGTTAACTATGATCACTGTGTCTAAATCAGTCTCAGCCCTCAATTTCTCATCAATTACAACCCCTATGTGAATTTTGGCATATTTCAACGATTACAGATCATTCTGCACATCAGAAGTACCATGTTGCTGGATTCTCCATACATGTATGTTTTTATTTTAGTGCATCGCATACCCTCATCTGAACTTAAAAATTCATTTTCCAAGTATTATTTCAGAAACATTGCAAAAATTAGATAACTTAGGTCTCTTCAAACTTTTCATGGGTATCAAAAGTTGTCATCTGTTGTAGGGAAAACCTTTTTAAGAAGATTAAGGTATATTTTGAGGAGGTAAAATATTTTCTGTTTACACTTAGATATTGAATAACATTTTATGAGGCGACCTTTAACTTTAATTTTAGGTCAAAGTAGCTAAAATTCCTATTACTTTCCTTTGGAACTACTGTATGTTAGCTAGCATGCAGTAGTCTGAGACAGATAGGAGAACCAGCAATGAGCCTATGTTGCGAAGGGATAAACCAGGAAAGGATTAACAATCTCTGGGACAAATATGAATTAATTAAAGAAAGCCAGCATGGGTTTGTAATGGGGAAATCACGTTCGATGAACTTAATTAAGTTTTTTTTAATGTGGTAATAGAGAGGATGGTGAGGAAAATATGCTGCATGTGCTGTATTTGGACTTCCAAAATAAGATGCCATGTAACAGGCTTATCAACAATGTTGAAATCCATAGTATATAAAAAGGACAGTGACAGCATTGATGATAAATTGGTTGAGCAACTGGAATCAGAGTGGTCTTTTTTTTCAGACTGGTGTAGAATAGTGTTCCCCACATACTGGCAGTTTAACCATTTTTTAAAAATTGAAATCAATGACCTAGATTTGAACGTACAAGGCAAAATTACAAATTTTGTGATGACAAATCACTTGGAAGAATTGTGAACTGCAAAGAGAATAGTGATAATCCTATCACTAGGATTAGGTTTAACAGCCTGGTAGAACAGTCAGACAGATGGCAGATGAAACTTATGTAGAAAAATATAAAATGATAAATTTTGGTCAGAAGAATGCGGAAAGGCAATACAAAACATAGGATACAATTGTAAAGAGGATGCAGGACCTGAGGTCATGTGTGCACAAATTTTTGAAGGTGGCAGCGCAGGTTGTGAAAGTGATTAATAAAGTATCCTTGATCCTGGTTTTATGAAAGCAGTATTTGAAGACTAATGTACAATACCATTGCTTACCTTGCTCTTAATGAGGATTTTGAACTCATAACCTGTGCAATTTACAGCTGAAATTGGGCATCTTATAATGCAAAAATATTCCAAACTACCAATAAGGTTTTGGTGTACATCCACAGGTCAGCATAAGAAATAAAACAGTTTTCTCTATGAAAAGCTCAGGTGAATTACACACATGGGCAACATCTTCAAAAACATAGGGCAGAGGTTTGTGTATACTGATCACCCCATCTGACCCTATAAATGGAACAGCAACAGGAATGAATGAGTGCATGGAACAGAAGCATTGACTTGCTATGAAGTTTCTGCCCTTCTGCATTTTCAGATAGACCTCAAGCCAGACTGCCAAAGCCTTCAGCATGTTATAGGAAAGGGCCTTATTGACATATCCTGGTCAGGGTTACAGTTAGACAACACTTTCATCTCACGTTGTGACAGCCACATTTTCCTTCTGCCTACCAACCAGAAATGGCGTAAATCAGGGATCGGTTGTAATCACAGTAAGTTGATGGAGGGTTTGGAAAACATTTTTATACTTGAAAGTTCTGCGTTTTAATGTTTAACGCCTTCCAAATTTAATTTTTTTTGTAAATTCTACAAAAATGGTTCTTGCAGAACTTGACTCCTTACTGTTGATTATTGGCTGCTTTAAATCGCTGTAAAGATGTGGAATATTGCCTAAGGAGTGTTTTTTGTGTTGAGCTGGATAGTGTATGTTGATGATGTTAATGCATATGTAGTGAGCATTCGGTTTAGAACATTGAGTTTAGATCTGACTTCATAAAACTGCATTTTGGATTTTAATTTCTCCGTTAATGCTTTCTCTTAATTACACATGGCTAATATGTTCAGCAACAGGAAGAATCCCACTTCCGGTGTTATTTAAAGGGATCAACAGCCACTTTTAAGTTAAATGCTGACTGAGTCCTACTGACCGCTGTTATAATTGTAGAAGTGCTTCTTGCACATTTTTCTAAATGAGGCCAAGCCAAGGCCAGTGTAGTATTTTTTTGTTTTGTATTTGGTAACGCATCTGAGAATTCTACTTACTCTTGTGCTGGCCTTACAGTATTTGTTTTGAACTTTCAGAGGGTCATGTTGTATAACATCTAGGTCTTTCCCCTAATGAATAACTAAGTTCAAATCCCTACAGGGTTTGCCCATTCTTGGCAATGGTAGCATGAAAGTGCATGACAAGACATATCTATGTCAAAGGATCCAGATTTTGTCCTATTCTCTTATCGTGTCCATGTAATCTATTTCTTTCATCCAAGGTCATAAAACCCACACAAACCTACGTATCTCTTGGATTTCTTCTATGAGATTATTGATGGCAAAGCACAACAAACCTAACACTGACCCCTGCAGGGCTCCAGTTGTAATGCATCCCCACACAGAATCACTGCTGTTGACAAGAACATTTTGTCCATGAGAATGCAACCAATTCCTTATCCAACCTCAAAAGCAGTGGCCTAGTGGTAATATCACTGGATTCATAATCGAGATCTTTGCGCTAATGTTCAGGGGACATGGGTTTGAATTCTACCATTACAAACTGCAACAAAACCTAAAGGAAAAAATAAAACTGGGCATTTGACCTGGCACAAGTCGAGGCACCAGAAATGACAACAGCAAACAGAAGCCTATTGGACCTGCAAAGTCCACCTTACCATCGTTTAGGGACTTGTGCCAAAAGTTGGAAGAGTTACCTCACAGACTAGTTAAGCAACAGCCTAACGCTCATACTCACAGAATCATACCTTACAGACAATGTCTGAGTCACCATCCCTGGGTTTGTGCTGAACCACTGGCAGGACGGAGACCATAGGTGGTCGTGCCACTGTGGTACACAGTTGGGATGAAGTTATCTTGGGGGTCCTTAATGTTGACTTCAAATGCCATTAATTCTCATGGCATCAGGTCAAGTAAATCTCCAGCTGATTACCCCCTTTGCTCACCTTGGCTAATGAATCAGTATTCCATGCTGAACATCATCATCATCATGTGTACATTTATGACAGTATCGGTAAGAGAGATCACCGCACAGTTCTTGGAGCAGTGAAGTCCTGTACTCATCTTCAGGATATCCCTCTCTCTGTTGTGTGGCACTAACACTGGTGTTTAAGTCCAATAGACTTCGAATAGACCTAGGAACTCAAAACTTGGCATTCATGAGGTGTTGTGGCTATCAGTCACAGCAGCAGAATTGCATTCAAGCAGGATCTGCAACCTCATGGCCTGACATATCCCCCACTTTTAAACTACCACCAAGCCAGGAGATCAATCCTATTGCAAGAAGAGTGCAGAGGGCATGCCAGGAGCAGCACTGGACATTATTAAAAATGATGTGTCAGTCTGGTAAAACTTGCCAAACAGCAGTAACAGCATACAGTTGACAGTACTAAGCAATCCCACATCCAGTGGATCAGATCTAAGCTCTGCAGTCCTACTGCATTCAGTTGTGAATGGTGGTGGATAAATTAACAACTAACAGAATGTAAAGGCTCCGGAAATATCCATATCCTCAATGGTGGGGAGCCTGGCGCAACAGTGCAAAAACTAAGGCTGAAACATTTTCATCCATTTTCAGCCAGAAGTCCCAAGTGGATGATCCACCTCAGCCTCTTCTGAGAATCCAGCATCATGGATGCCAGTCTTCAGCCAATTCAATTAATTCCATGTGATATCAAGAAACAGTTGAAGATGTTGGATACTACAAAGGCAATGGAGGTAATAACATTTCTCCAATTCCCAGACACCGAAATAGTCAATGGCTAAATGCAGCAAGACCTGGAAAATATCCAGGTTGGGCTATAAGTGGTAAGGAAGATTCACACCACACAATGCCAGGCAATGAACATCTATAACCAAAGTGAATCTAACCATTGTTCCTTGATGTTCAATGGCATTACCCTTGCTGAATCCCTGGGCATTAGCATTAAGCAGTGGACCAGCCTTATAAATATTATGGTTACAAGGCTGCTCAGAGGTTAGGAATCTTGCAGAGAGTACCTCATTTTCTGATTTCCCAGTACCTGTGCACCAGCTACGAGGAACAAGTCAAGAGTGTGATGAAACACTACCCACTCACCTTGATGAGTGCAATTCCAAAAACACTCAAGAAGCTTGACACAGGATGAAGCAGCCTGCCTCATTTACTCCACATTCCAGAATGCCTCCATCACTGGTGGTCAGTAGCAGCAGTGTGTACTATCCACAAGATGCATGCAGAAATTCACCAAAAATCCTTAGACAGCACCTTTCAACCCCATGAACACTTCCAGGGAGAAGGACAAGGACAGGAAATAGAGTCATGGAGTTATACAGCACGGAAACAAACCGTTTGGTCCAACCAGTCCATGCTGAACATAATCCCAAACTAAACTGGTCCCACCTGCCTGCTCCTGGCGACATCCTTCCACACCTTTCCTGTTCATATATCCATCCAAATGTCTTTTAAACATTATAATTGTGCCCACATCCACCACTATATCAGTAAGTTCATTCCACACACAAACCACCATCTGTGCAAAAAATTTGTCTCTTATGTCTTTTTAAAATCTCTCTCCTCTCACCTTAAAAATGTGCCCCCTAGTCTTGAAATTCCCCATCTTAGGGAAAAGACAACTACCATCAACTCTATCTATACCTCTAATTATTTTATAAACTTCTATCAG